AACCACAGAGCAATGCCAACATCATCTGTCATCAAGGATGCAAACACAGTTTGGAGAAATAAGCTGTTGCAATGGACTTGACTTACCGTGATGACTTTTAAATGATGCACTGAAACTAGTTTTATGAGACACGGGCAGTTGAAATGAACTGCACGGGGACTTCAGGTTTCAGAAAATGAAAGCAATCATGAGTTCGCCATTAGAAGGATGAAAATTCTGCAAACGACAGAAACAAGGAGGTTGATTTTCCCCCAACAGCCACCTAATGGGAACGCCCACTGAGGTTCTGTGTCCTCCACAGACTCACAGGGACAGGTGCTCCCCTTGCTACGTCTCGTTCAGTTCACTCTCTGAGCTGGGAGGTTCTGACGCGTGGAGGGAGGGAGCGCGAGGCTGGGGTGTCCGTCCACGACCGGGGAGAAGAGGCACGTGCTGCAGGCGAGACCAGGCGTGGAGAGGGAAGGGGCCACCGACCGCCAGGACGTGCGACCTTCACGAGGGTCCAGACCTGCCGGCTGGTTGCAGTGCTTTCTCCCCTGAGCTCTGATCGGCGTTGGACTCACCGGAGGACGCCAGGCCAGGGACTGCCAGCCTCTCTGTGGGGACAGCCTCTAGGTTGAGCCAGGTTAGATGAATCTGAAGATTGCACCCCAAGGCAGGCACCCTGACACCCCCAGTGCCCGACGGGGGGGGTATAAATGCACCGTGCCAGGGAGGCATTGCCCCAAGCGTACAGTCTCTTGAAAAGAAAACCGGAAATAAAAAGCTTCGAGGACAGAGCTGCCGCAGGGGCACGAGCTTTCCAGACGCTGGGGTGTTCTGCAGGGAGTATTGGGCCAGCGCTTTGGCCCCGTGCGGGCTCTCGCTTCCTGAGGATGGGAAGCAGACACCCCCCAAGGGTCCGGCCCAGAGACGATGAATGAGAAGAGGCACAGTGCTTGCACTCAGGCTGTAGTGAGCTGAGTTCTCAGGAGAGGGGGTGAGGAAAGGTGACCTTCCGTCGGGAGGGTGGCGCTGCCCATGGTGACACAGCCTCCGTCCTCTTCTGCCTGGGTTCTGAGCCCCAGCTGCTGCATCTGCAGGGCCTCCCTCTCCAGAGCAGCAGGCTGGGGTGCTGGGAGCTCAGCCCCTGGGCCTCGGGGACCTGGGCTTCACCTGGGCTCCGCTCTACGTGACTGAGCTCAGAGGAGGTGATCTCATCTTCTCGGTTTCCTCGTCTGCCGAGCACACCAGCAGCCGATTGGTTCATTTGATTAATGAGTTGGTCTCGTGGGAGGAAATGGAGATCAAGCAGGTAAAGCACTTACCGGGGTGCCCAGCACCCCCTCAGCGTGCCCCACGGTTAGCAATGGCTCTTATCACAATCATCCAGGGCTAAGAGTTGAAATCCATGGTTATGTTAATTTTTTTGAAAATATTTTTTCTTTATTGATTTTAGAAAGAGAAGGAGGGAATGGGAGAGATAGAAACATCGATGAGAGAGAACGACTGGCCGCCTCTTGCACGCCCCGCACTGGGGACTGGGCCCCCAACCTGGGCACGTGCCCTGACCTGGAATCGAACTGGGGACCTCTTGTGCGTAGGTTCACGCCCAGCCAGTCAGCCACACTGGCCGGGCATTTTTTTTTTAAATTGATTTTTAGAGAGAGAAGAAAAGAGAGGGAGAGAGAGAAATATTGATGCAAGAGTGAAACGTAGATTGGCTGTCTACGGCACACCCCCTACCGGGATCAAGCCCACAACCTGGGCGCATGTCCTGACCAGGAATGGAACTGGCAACCCTTTGGTGCATGGATGACAACCCAACCCGCTGAGCCACACCAGCCAGGGCAACTGTGTTCATTTTATTATTATTTATTTATTTAATCCTCACCCGAGGACATTTTTCTATTTTTTGTTCAGATAGAGTGGTAGGGAAAGAGAGGAAGAGAGAGAGAGAGAAACATCTACATGAAAGGGACACATCGAGTGGCTGCCACCCGCACGACCAACCAGGGCCGGGGACAAACTTCAACCGAGGTACATGCCCTTAGCGGGAACCGAACCTGGGTCTCTCTGGACCGCAGGCCAATGCTCTAACTGCTGAGCCAAACCGGCCAGGGCTGTTCATTTTATTTTATTTAATATTTTTTATTTTATTGTATTTATTTTTTTAATTAATTACTTTATTTTTGTTACAGATGTTTCTCCTTTGCCCCCACCCCAGACACCCTCCTCTCAATCCCTCCTCCGGCCCAGGATTGTTGTCTATGTCCAGTGGTTACACATACATGCATGTAAGTTCTCTGGCTTACCTCATCCCTGCCCCCTGACCCCTCCTCTGAGGTTGTTCATTTTAATTAGTACATGCAAACATTTTAATTAGTACATGCAAAAGAGGTGCTTGCCCTCTTGCAACTGGGAACATTGTGTGGCTATTTCTTGCATGCAGGACTGTCACTCAGAGAACGCACTCACCGTGACACTCACTAGCAGAGGGTAAGGCCCAGGGTGACCCATCAGGTCCTCCCGTTCCAAGAAAGCCAGCTCATGTTCTGCAGAACTAGGGGGTGGGACACGTAGCTCTTCCTTTCTCACTTCTGCTTGGGGGAGTCACACGTGCTACCCTCCCAGAAACCCGCAGTGCGCAGCTCCGGCTCGGACTGGAGCAGCCCGCCCTCCATCAAAGGTTGTGCAGAACAAATGTGCGCAGAGCGCCGGTCTGAGCGCCTTCTCCGTGACAGGCGTCAGCGCGGGGAGAGCCAGGAGGAGCTGTTTAGGGCTAGGTGCGCGTGGATAAGGCATCGCGTTGAGGACAGAGGTGCCTGCGGAGTGACTGAGACGGGGAATCTGGTTCCTGGCGGGCAAACGCTGAACTGTCGGCGTCGGGTCCGGGTGTGGAGGGACGCCAGAGGTCAGCTGGACGGGCGAGAGCTGGGGCCTCAGGGAGGGCCAGCTTCTGGGTCTCCCCTCACTCATCATCATGCCAGGCCTGTTATCTTCACCTGCTCCTTTGTCCTCCCTGGTGCCACACGTACGTGACCTCCGGGCGTCTGTGATGTTGGTCTCAGGACTGTTCCAGGAGTACGGGCTCTGGAGACCCCTGTGAACCCAGGCCAGGGAGGCAAGATGTCCAGCGAGCGCGGAGACTTCGAATGAAGAGGAGCTGAAACCTTGTGGGGGAAGTTCAGCTTAGGGAAAACACAGCAATTGCTTAAGACTCGCCCTGGCCGGTTTGGCTCAGCGGGTAGAGTCGGCCTGCGGTCCAGAGAGACCCGGGTTTGGTTCCCGCTAAGGGCACGCACCTCGGTTGCAGTTTGTCCCCGGCCCTGGTTGGGTTGTGCAGGAGGCAGCCATTCGATGTGTCCCTTTCATATCGATCTCTCTCTCTCTCTCCCACTCTATCTGAACAAAAATGGAAAAAAGTCCTCGGATGAGGATTTAAAAAAAAAGAAAAAAAAGACTAAAGTTAGCCTTCTCAGTTGTTAGAGGTCAGAGTGATGGGGCCACTCGGGGTTACTTTCCTGGGAACCATAAAGTGAACAATATTGCCCAATATCAAGTGTCATCTGGCTCAAGGACTGATTTGTTAAAGCAACGCTAAATTAGGGTTGCACCCAAAGACGAGAGTTTCAGTCTTTGCTTTTGGATTGTAGCATTTTTACTCATAAGTTGTGATACTTTTTTAAAATGGTTTTTCAAGCATTTTTCGTTTCAGTTCTTAGAAATGACATCTGTGTCCTTTTCATGTCATCCGGCTCTTAAACCTGTGTTTCTCTAGCCATGTAAGTGAGGGGGGTAGTGAAACCTGGCTTGTTTTTTAAGAAAAATTACTAAGCTCACCAATGATTTACTAACGTGTGAACGTATCAACGTCCTACAGTCATTGCAATGGTTCATTTCACAACGGTGATCTTAAAAAAATATTACCTCATGTACTTTCATCTTCATCAAAATAGTTAATGGGAAATAACCATTCACAGAATGTCCATTTTGATTCATGTTTACAACCCAAACATGAGTGACGTCCTTCAGCCAGTGTTTACTGAGCACATGCTCCATCACTGGCTGCCTGACACCCACTCCTTACGTGGAGAGGCTCACAGCCCAGCGAGATGGCTGTCGGAGGACCAAGGGGTTCACGAGTCTGGAGACCTCGATGTGGCGCCTGATTCGGCCCGAGCAGCAGTGGGAGGCCGGTGGGAAGGTCGCCATGCACTGTGCATGTCATCAGCAGCCCGCAGGAACCGAAGCAGAGAGCTAGCAGACACTTGCTCTGCGCAGGTCCTTGATGAGCACGCCACGTTCATCATTGTTCCATCCTCCCCACCACCACCGTGATTCCATTTTAGAGGGGGGAACTGAGGCTGGAGGCTTCAGCAAAATCAAGGGGTCCTTGAGCATTCGAGTCAGAATTGGAAACTGGATCTTTTTGGCTCCAGAGTGAAGACCTAACCATGACTTAGTCCGGCTGCTGAACACCCGCCCCCGCAAGCCACAGAGTGAACTTTCAGAGGTTCGATGATTTCTCATCCAATCCCTTTAGAAAGTGCACCTTTCCCAAGGGCGTGGGGAGAGCATGTTGGTCTCGCCACACCTGCTATTTCGGAGGATCCAAGTCTTGGACCTTTCCGATGGGTTCCAGAGTAGACCTCAACCCGAGCAGCTCCGGAGTGACTGACGGTGTCACCACAGCACGTCAGCGTTCCCAAGTCTACATAATCAGGTACTTTTTTAGGTAATTAACAATCATGGCCTTCTCTATAACTGAGGGGCCGAGGACGTGCTGGGCGTTGAGGCCACTTCCATAAAGGATTTGTGAGGACCACTGACAGGCACCTCTCGATCCACCCCTCGGGGTGGAAGACACTCAAAACTGAAGAAGCAGAGACGGTGGGTTCAGCCCCAGAGAGCACCTTGGGACCTGTCCCTCCACCCAGCAGAGAAGGCCTAGAGAACAGACAGCAGAAACCACCCAGACAACTGCCCCAAACTTGCTTGTATAAATAATTTATTTCTCTTCACAGCATCATATAGGCATATAAAAGGGAGCGGGAACAGAAGAGGAAGGTGATCAAGACAGAATTTTAGCAGTAGAAATGAAGACAAACCAGGAGACAGAGTCCCAACACCATGACAGAGAATGGGCGAAGAGAACCAGTTGGAAACATTTCGGGAGCCCCCATGGGGAGGCCCACTTCCTCTGCGACACCCATTCATTCTCCCAAGGGCAGGAGGCATACTAAACCAGGACTGCTGCACGGAGGGCCCCACCCCGGGGGCTGACCGCTCCGAGGCGGTAAGCTCTGTGCTTCCTGCTTGCTCAGAGCTATTACCAGGTCAAACGCTAAAGAAACAACAACGGAGACTCTTAATTATTGGTTGATTAAGACACCACAGGGTTTTACTTCACTACACAATCACTAACAGCTGACTGCAACCTTTAAGTATTGATAACGCAAAAACAAAAAACAAAAATCATTTCGCGTCATTTGTAAAGCGTGGCAGGATATGAGCAGTGATCTTGAACCTAAGAATTGTGAGCACGAGGTTACAGTATTTGGCATCTGCAATGTCACAAAATAAATATATTATTTTCTCAATAGTGTGGAACTACCCAAATGTCAAAGTGCTTAAGAAATTGTCGCACGTGAAGAAAATAAAGAAGATGGATTTTTTTTTTTTTAATAATTCTATACAGAGTCTTCAGAAGCTGGGGCCAGCCCATTTAGAAATCAGTGACTATGCTGTCGATATGCACACTGAAACCTTGCAGGCATTCCCAATGCTGCGTAGCTATATTTTCTCTACTGAGTTTCTACAGAAAGACCACCATTGGAGGGTACCAAATACACCGACAAAGAGAACGGAGGATGGGCTGCTAGGGTCCTTCTTTTAACGTATCTCATAGAATTGGGTTTGAAGCAGGAAACCAGGAATTCTACCTCTGGTTCGCAAATTAACTTGCTGTAAGTAAAGGTCAGTAGACAGGACTTTATAATGTGACTGACTTACATGCTCAAGCATGACATCACCCAATTTCCACAGGCCTCCTTCGCAAACTAACGTGTAATAGCAGAGGGGAAACATAATTCTCCCTGTAAACATGGATTCAAAGAGGAAAAAAAAAAATCAAACAGTAAGCTTAAGTGTCCCTTTTGATACTGTGTTTCAGGGTAAATGACAGCGTTAGCCAACCAAGACTCAGTCCTGATTATAAAGGATTTATTTAAATTACATTATTAAAAATATCTATTCTTTCACTTTATTTTCCAAAGCCTCTTTCAAGTACACTGTCAAGTGCCTGGGCACAGGCAACCATGACGTCACACGCTTGCTCTTCGTCTCAGACACTGCCTGTGGTTTGCATCTGCAAGCCAGTCCCCAGAAGAATGAAGGAGGACCTCATCCTTTGCTTTTAAATCCATGCAACAAGGTCGGAATTTACAACAAGGTGGGGTTTTATTTTTGGTGCATGACATGAAATACTCTAATGAGACCATTTTAATTAAATACCTAAACCAGATAGGCCACAATGAACCCAATTAGAAATTTGAACGTGTCGCCACTTGCAGCGTAAAAGGACAGAAAAGGGCAGAGCAAAGTCTTTTTTCCCTACGGTGAATATTTCTAAGGTGAGTATTCATTTATAGAAGGTTTTTTTTCTTCTTCTTTTTTAACATGTCTGGAAACCAAAACCCATCATCAAGCGGTTAGTATTATGAGACAACCCTTGCAAAAAACCATCTTGCAATTCAGCACACATCTGCAGCTGGTGTGCTCACACAAACCAATCAGTAGGCTGAGAGAACTTAAGATTCCACACATATGGGTCCAGATATGTATGCCAATGACAGTACAGAGGGCGGTCCCTGCGTCCACACACACCCACCCGGCACTGACACCCAGAGCCTTACCCTTGAAACACCTTTAACTGTCCTGCAAACAGTAAAGGCATCATTTGCCACCACCTCCAACAGTTTTTATTTTTATCATTTTTATTTTTCATTGGTGTCTTTGTGTGATAATGACCTACACACGGACAGGGTCCAAATCATCTGGACGATGTCTGATTCCAGGCTGAAACGCGGTTCTTAACAAAACTGGTTCCACAGCCACCGCGAATCACCAGGAAAGGGGCATCTCGGCAGCCATCCCCGAGGCCAGCGCGGGCCCCATGCCCTGGGGCTGTGTATTGTTCCAAGCAGTCCTCTGAGAGCCCACACCACCACCTCCTTTGGGCCCAGTGCAGGACAAATGAAATTTCAACAGGGGCCTGCCCTGTGAGATAGAATTATCCAGCTGCCATGGAAGCAAGGAGTGGCTGTCCCCCAGCACCTCCCACTGCCAACAGGCCCCAGATGGGGACTCCCAGGGTTCCGGGACTTGCATACCTCAGGTAACTCGCAGGTGAGGGCGGGGCAGCCTGAACTTCTGGCCCTGCGGGAGCAGGAAGAAACTGCTTTTGTTTCTGGTGTCTGAGCCTTCCCCCTGGGCCAGGAGGGCAGACAACCGCCCCAGCACGTCCACTCCGCAGGGCTGCCTCCCACCCCATCAGGGAGCTCTGGCGTCCAGACAAAAGGTCCCCTGAGTCCGGGGTGGGAGCCGGTCCGAGCAGCCTCCACACCCAGGCTAAGTCCCTCGTCCTGCATCTGGGCGAAGACATTCCGTTTTAAAAATTCGAAGCATCGCTTTGGTTCGCTGTCTTTGTTCGCGGGCGCGGGTTCTCGCACATCCATTCATTCCTGCCCGACTCCCTCGCTCGCTCCCGCCTCGCTCCCGCACGCCGCCGGGCACATTACCGCTTCTTCTTCTGCTTGAGGGACTTCCTGCGCTTCAGGATCATCTCATAGAGCTTGTCCATGCCCTCGGTGAGGCCCTCGCCGATGATGGCGCACGCCGGCTGGACGTGGTAGGTGGTGGCCGGGATGAGCTCGTGCAGCGCCAGCTGCTTCTCGATCTCGGCCACCGGCAGCGACTTGGGCAGGTCCTGCTTGTTGGCGATGACCAGCAGCGGCGTGCCCTGGTTCTCGGCGAACTTGGTCACCTTGTGCAGCTCCGTCTTGGCCTCCTCCAGCCGGTCCACGTCCACCGAGTCCACCACGTAGATGATGCCGTCCGTGCAGCGGCTGTAGGATTTCCAGAGCGGCCGCAGCTTCTCCTGGCCGCCCACGTCCCAGAAGTGGCAGCTGATGCCCTTGGCCGTGCCGTTGCTCAGCTTGATCTTCTCCGTGTTGAAGCCGATGGTGGGCACCGTGTTCACGAACTCGTTGAACTTGAGCCGGTAGAGCACCGTGGTCTTGCCGGCCGAGTCCAAGCCCAGCATGACGATGTGCAGGGACTGGAAGGCCGAGATGTTGGAGGAGATGTTGCCCATGGCTCCTCGCTGCGGCGCCGGCCACTGCGGCTGCAGCGGGAGGGCGCCGCCCCCCGAGCGGTTACGGGCCCGCCGCGGCCGGACGCACCTGGGCCGCGCCTGCCGCCCTCCGCCGCGACCCGCCCGGCCTCCGCGGCCCCGGGGCGCACGGCGCGGCGCGCTCAGACGCCGCAGCCCCCGAGCCCGCGCCGGCCCGGCATCGCGCCCCTCGGGCGGGCTTTTGTCTCCTGCGAAGCCGCCTCTGCTGCGGCGACGCGAGATGCTCGCGCCCGGAGCCCGCTCCAGCCGCGGCTCGCTCTGCGGCTTCCTAGGGCCGCGCCCCCGCGCTCGGCCGCTGCCCGGCTCCCCGCGGCCGGCGGCTCGGGGCTCCGGCGCTCGCCTCCGCCCTGGGCGGCGCTGCGGGGCCGCTCCCGCTCCCGGGGCGCGCCTGGGAGGCGCAGGCGGGGGCGCGGGCTTCCCCGGGCGTCGCTGCCGACTCTCTGTCCCCGCAGTCCCCGCGCCGCCGCCGCCGCCGCCGCCGCCGCAGCCAGCCTGCTGCGGCCCGAGGGCGCCCAGCTCCGCCCCTCGCGGCCCCGCCCCGCCCCGCCCCCGGCCACGCCCCCGCCGCGGCCCGGTAGGGTGTGGACTTCTCCTCCCCGCCGGCCGTTTTCGCGCCCTTCGGAGCGTTAGGAGTCGCCCTCCGGGGCCCCCTCCCGGGCCGCGCCCAGACACGGGCCCGAGAGCCGGCTCTTCCTCCCGGCCCGCTGACGCATCTTATAAAAATAGCTCCCGGCTTCCGGAGCTCCCCGCCCCCAGCCCTGGCCCGCGCACTGCCCCGCGGGGCCGCACCCGGGCAGCACGGCCTGCTTCGGGGAGCAGGTTCGGGGTCCCCGCTGGGCAGGCGCTGCGCCGCCTGGAATTTGGAGCGAAGCGGTGGAGGGCAGCGTCTGCCCAATGGCTGGGGAGCTCCCGGGAATGGGGTGAGAGTGCCCCGCTGGGAGTGAGGACGATGGGGTCAGGTCCCCAGACTCTTAGGAGAAGGGAAAGGGGGCGCTGGCTTCAGTGAACCAGCAGCCTGCACCCCAAGCGCGCTCCTGTACGCAGCCGGGGCGCGTTCCAGACGTCCTTTGCCTGGTCCTGGGCCCTGGCCTTCCGCGAGGGCCTGGCTCGCTTTCCTGCCCAGCTCCAGGAGGCTCCACCAGGCCGCCGCCACACTGGAGGCCTGGGCCTGTGCCCAGGGTGCCCGGAGGCCCGCTCTTCCTGCTGCTGGTGGTGATGGATGCAGAGGTCCAGCATATCACCCTAGGCTGTGATGGGGTGTGAGGTGGATAGGATGCTTGATCTCCAAGTAGCAATTCACCGGATCTGGACAGCCCCTTAGCTGCCTTGCTTGTTCCCACCAACTATGCTCACATCCAGGTCCAACGTTACATCTCAGGAGAGCACCCTCGGCCGCCCGACTTGAGAACTGAGAACCATTCTTTCTGCACCTGGGGATATAGATGCACTTGGGGGCTGAAACAAAGAATGTCCCTAGTTTGCAGTCCAGGACACCAGAGGTTGCAAACACCAATGTGGGTCCCTGGTTCCCATCTCGCCTCACTCGGATTCAGCGGTTTTGTTCCAGTCTGTAAACACGTGACAAATGTACATTCTCTGTGGATGCAGAGGGAACAGTACATTATGGGAAACGCACAGACCTGCTCTGGAGGATAGACAGCCAGTGGGTGAAGGGACTGTCTCATCTGTTCAAGTCCCACCTAGGAGCAGGGTCAAGGGGGAGAAAATGAAAACGATAATCATTTCGGAGTAAAACCCCAAATTTTATAGGCATGCTTTCCCTACTGCCTCCCTCGGTCCTGTAACATGTGAGAAGACCACATCTGTAGAAAGCAGGACAAGCCTGTGTTTGGAATTCATGGGGAAGCAGCAGCCACGGCCATCGTCTGACCCCCAGAGTGGGTCCGGGGTCTGGGAATGGAATGTGGGGGCTGGAAACGGCCTTAAGGATTATTCCATGCAACCCCGTCAGATAAGGAAACCACAGTCCAGGTGCTTGTCACTTTGCCAAGGTGGAACCCAGATGCAGAGGGCCTGCCCCACGCCCAGTGGTACGGGTGCCCAGGGCTGAGGGCCTGCCCGCTCTCTCTTTCACTACACCCTCACGCTATTTAATTTAATGGGAAATGGAGTTCCAAGCAACCCGAATTTCAGTTGCAAAAGACACATTCAACTCAAATTGAGTTGGGCAAACATGAAACTATATTCACTGGCATAATCAAAAAGGCCATGATTCAGGAATGGCTAGATCCAGGAGCTAAAGAAACCTTTAGACCAGGTGTCTCTTCAGTTCTTCTCTGTTTTCCTCTGTATTGATTCGCTTTCCTACTGGCATCCCTGGATTCGCATCCTCGGTTTACATCCTAGGGGGAAAAAGTTGTGTCTCTTTCCCATTCACTGTGACGAAAGCCTGAAGGACACATCCCTTTGGCCTTCCTGGCCCACCCCTGAATCAAGCACGACTGTCCAGAAGGATGGAATGCAATGACAGGTGTGGCCCAGGGGCTCAAATTGGGGAGGGGTAGCTCCTAAAGAAGAATCAGACATCTGTTCCCAAGGGACAAATGGTGTTTAGCAAGCAAGAAGAAATGTCGGCGTGATTTATAATGAGGTCATTTGGTTATTGGGAACCTTGGGAAGACAGAATTTTGTGTTTTTGGAGTGATTTTCTTCACTTTCTTCAAGGCCTGCCCCATAGGTTGCCACCTTCTCGGGAGACTGTTTCTTCTCTCCCTTTCCTCTATGCTGCAGGCAGGACTTTGGCTGAGTGTCAGCCCAAGAGGGACTTTGATCTGTAGCCTGGAACCTGGCCATTTGGAAAGGCACAGATCAGACTGAAACCCTCTTGATGTGACTCCCACAAATTATCTTAATATAGGACTCCTCTCCCTCACCTACATCCGTCTCCCGTCAGGTCTTGCTTTTATTTGAAGAATAGTAGGAGGGAAATATTTTAGTAAAATACCCGATGCGTTTTCTTGGTGCTGTACTAATTACTGCCAACAGTGGTTTTGACTATAGCCTCCACATTTTGCGCCCCCACAGTGGGGCTTAGCAATTAAGGGCTACCTGTTGTCCAGCCGAAAAAGCAGAGTAATCGACATTAATAGAGCCTTCCAGAACAGAGCCATTCAACAGCAGCTCACCATAATTGGATGGCAACCACTCTGCATTATAATTTCACTCACCAGGTGATACGTTGATTTTACAGCCGATAATTTAACTTCTCTCCCATAATAATGTCATTCGGCTCAGTCAACTTTCAAATATGAATTGCAATTGAGTAACACTGGAGGGATAAAAAGGGAAGGAATGTTTACCGCAACGTTGGGGACGCAGGGCCCGCTCAGATCTCGTTTCTGCAGGACGGAGCATTATGGCTGGCTGCTGGGCTATGTCCACAGACGGGGAGGGTGCCACGTGTTCCCCCACACATTCCGGCCACCTGGCCACACCCAGTTCACCCTTTCTCAAGCTTCCCCTCTCTAAAATGTATCTAACACGTGCAGTGGTTGGGAAGAATAAATGACATGATGTGTATGAAGTGTCCGGCAGGTAGTAAATGCTCAATAAATGTTGGACTTGAAAACTGCAAGGAAACCACTTTAATAATGTGGTAGGTACATAGTCATCTGAGTAGTGGTGCCCCTTCTCAGGTGGCAAGTGTTCCGCTGAGTGGAAAATATTGGCTTCTTGAGTCATTTCCTTCATTTTAATTAATCAGGAGACATTTCTCAACGAGTAACGTGCACCGTGTCTTGCTTGGGATGAATGTCTCAGCAGCAGCATTTCGGCTCCTCTCCCTTCTCTTCTGCCTCAAATGATTTTACACCCAGAAAAGAGCTCAATTAGTTCAGTTAAACAGAATGCAACAACTTGCTGGTAATTTTGAAACAGGATCCTAAAATATTAGCCTTTTTTTTTTTTTTTTCTTCTTTAAGGGCTTAGAAATAAAGCGTGCCACCTACTAAAGTGACGTTTGAGTGGATCTAGTGAATAGAGCAGTGTATTCCATCATTATTATCTTTGCTTTAGTAAGGTTAATAAGATGCAAAGGTGCATCACATCCATTGGTGAGTGTGGGTAAGGATAACAGATCAGAACCTGGGTGCATGTGTGTCCACCAGCACGTATGTAAGATGTGTGATTTATCTACGTTTTCTGATTGGCTCCCTGGGTCCAGGCCCTGTGCTTAGCTGTTATAATACAGGAGCGCCCTCTGCTGAGCTTCCTGTATAATAGACCAAGGCCTCTACAAGGGTCAATTTGCCTGGTGCCTAATAAATGTTCATATTGAACAAATGAATAAATGACTCCCTGACCTGGTTCTCTATCCGGAGCTGAGGCACCAGTTTTCTTAGCGCCCCACCTGCTAAGCTGAGAAAGTGCTTGTTTGGGGGCTCGGAGCTTGGGAACCTCGACTCAGATGCAGGCTTGGTCTTGCCTGCTAGGCCAGGGCAGAACGGGAGGGCGACTGGCCAGAAGAGGGAGGCAGGAACTTGGAAAAGCGCGGAATCACCGGTCGACAGAAGAGAGAGGGACTCAGCATCCAGGAAACCTAGCTGAGCCTGGAGACCGGAGGAAATCACTCCTCGCGTCTCCTTCAGTGAACAGGCAGGGCAGCCAGAAATGAGAGGGGCCAGCAGTGGAGAAAATGCAGGCCGGTTGGACAGAGAGAGCAATGAGGCCCGAGGCAGCCAGAGCCAGGTGGTCCGGGATTGCAATTCTTTGGCTGGTGGAAACGTTCCCTTAAGGAAGACCCACCCACACCCCCAGAAATCTTGGGGAGTGCAGGACGGAATGTGTCTCAGTCATCTACAGTCTCTGCATTCCAGGCGAAATGCCAGCGCCAGGCTACACGTAGAAAGGACTAAAAGATGCTGGGTCAGTCCGGCCAGTGTGGCTCAGTGGTTGAGCGTTGACCCAGGCACCAAGAGTTCGCCGGTTCAGTTCCTGGTCAGGGCACATGCCAGGTTGTGGGCCTGATCCCCAGTGGGGG